GGGAATGCCTTGTAGTTCAGTTGTAAATGGCACAGACATGGGATCTGATCCAGTCATTGCAGAGATATACCAAGGAGATGGAGAAGTACACCTCCAGCCATCTCCAGTGTGAATGTCCTAGTGGGAGACTACAGAGACGCTGCTCTGCCTTTCTATCCCTGCATAGATTCAGACCAGCACAGTAAGGAGTTTTATTACTGCCATTTATTGCCATTTACTGCCTATGCACTTAGTGTGGTCTGTTTGCAAGGCTTTTGTGGTTTCTCCCCTTACATTAATTCACTTCTCAGCAGTGTTTTCTATCTGGGCAACTGATCTCACAATCCCTTCAAGTCTGCTCCTTTCTTGTAATGTTATGTTGCACAAGAAGTATGCAGCAATATTTTTGAAGTGTGAGAAGTAAAATCTGCTGTTTCTGCTTTTTCAGGAGTAAAGGCCTCCTGTTTTCAGGGTGTTTTTTCTAACTGTCCCAAACTGGTTTTAAGAAATCCATGACATGAGACATTCCCACAGTGTATGAATCACACTGTCATAACATACAGCTGCTTCACAGAGAAAGACAAGTTATTCTCTGTGTGAAAGAAAGGGCATACTGTAGCACTGTCAGAGAATAGCCTGAGGAGCCAGACTATTCCAGTGCTATGCTAACGTGACCCAGACTTCTCTTCACACCTTTCCAAAGTTAAAGGCACACTTCCGCTGCTAGTGAAAGGGGAGGATATGGGAGACAATCTGTATTTATGAAAAGGTAAAAAAAGGCCTCTGTTTTTCTTATTTTTACCCAATTTCTTTATCATTACATTGCTAAATTTCCCCCCTGAGTTCTTTCTCTGGGTGAACCCTTTCAGTTTCAGATGCCTCTTAATAGTACATGTTGTGCCTGTTATCCAGATATAGGAATATACTGCTTGCTCCTTCTCACCTCAGGATTTAAAAGCAGCTGGAAGATCACTGTAAAACTCATTATTCTTTGCCTTTCGGTATATAGATTAAATGATCAGTGTATTTTTTTTCCACAATGGAATTAACTGAGGAGATCTCTTTTACTAGATGACTATTTATGGCTGCAAAATTATCCGTATTCTGTCACTTTTATAATGACAGAAAGTATCCCTTTCTGACCATCTTTTGAGGGGTTTTTGGCAATTCAGTATGCCTGAGTTAGTTCCATAACTTGCAACAATATACATTGTGACTTCACAGGTAAAACTGCCTTTTAGAAAAATGAATCCTTGTACAATGGACAGCAGATCCATGAACTTTGCTAAGATCCACCTTATATGTGTGTATGCTTTGTCTGGCTTTGCCTCCAGAAAGAAGCCAAATTGTATGTTGTCATTCCTAATTCTGAATGACAGTAATGTGCGTATAATATGGGTCCCTGTTCTGACTGACTGAATACAATTTTCATAATAATTGCTGTAGATGGCAAAGATCATACTCAATGCATTTTCTGACTTTATAATTCTTTTTCAGACCTTATAATGCTACTGAATTCTTTAGTAGCTGAGAGTCCTGAAGAAACAAAGAAATTAAGTGTGATGATAAAATTACAGACTGTGCCCTAATACATGCAAGGGATAAATTAAGATTGCATAGATCATCTTAAAGTTTTGTGAGATATTGTTAGGTAAGATTAAATTTCTGTGCTAATTCTAGGAAAAGATGGTTTGAAAACTGTCTTTGGAATGTGATTTCAGAGAGAGCTAAAGTTGACCAACATCTTTAGAAACTGAGCTGTTCGGTCTCTAAATACATATGATAGAATTAGAAAATTTGGGCCCATATATCTGTTTAAGAATCAGGATTCTTGATTCCTGGTTCGCTACTTCAATTTAAATAGCTTTATGCTTCCTGCCTCTCTCTTGCTTCCTCCCTTACAACATATTTTTAGGACAGAAGTACGTGGTGCACCCCTATGTCATAAAGCAGTCCCACACCTAAGGATGGAACAGGTGCTGAGATATGTAACTTTCAGAGCTGCAGACACCTCAAGAATCTGGAAAAGCGAAAAGGTCTTTCTGGAAGTGAGAAGAACAGTAATTATGAACATGGTGTGGCATGAAATGCATCATGGTGAACATCATAGAATCACAGAATCATATAGTCACAGAATGCCACTTTGGAAGAGACCTCAATATTTCTTGGTAACGCATGACCTAGACTAGATGTTCCAGCACCCTGCCCAGCTGAATCTTACAAATGCCCAGTGTTGGGGAATCCACCACTTCCCTGAGGAGATTATTCCAATGGCTGATTGTTCTAATTGTGAAAAATTTTCTTCTTGTGTCCATCTGGAATCCCTGAGAGTAAATTATACCAGGAAGATAGATATACTTGTATTGGGTAGAAAACATCTAAGGCAGTATATTTGTATCTCTTCCCTTCTTGTGTACCATGCTTCAGCACTATGCAGACTTAGATATTTCAGCCTAGAGGCTATGTATTTGCAGATTCATGGTAACAGGATAGCAGATACTACACAAATATATTTAAACTGATTCCAGACCACAGATAGTTTAGTTATTACCAAGGCAGATATCTGCACACCAGCATCCCCATTTATTTGATGTGTGGAAAGAATCAGATTGGTTGTCCATGTCTGTGCTATTTTAAGCAGAGCCAAAGTTTTTGCTGTTTTTCTAATTGGTTATTTAAATCTCTGAAAGAATGACTGTATTTAATAATTCTACATGAATGAATAATAATCCTAAGTGAATATTACAGAACTCTTTATTTTCATTTTGACTGCCTTCCATAAAATGGACTTGGCTAGATTTTAGACAACTAGAATGATTTCATTGCGCATGTGTCATCATGATTCACAATCTTCCTCTAATATTTTCATTAACACAGATACAATTGCTGATAGTGCATTTATTTTCATTTTATTGCAAGTGATGCACATAAGTGACCCAGACAATTTAATGAAACAGTTAACTTTTGTAGTTTTAAATGAATAGGATTGTTCTGTAGCTAGCTGTCTGGGTTCATTTTAAATAGATTTTAAGACAACTTCACTTTCATATAACAATTTACTTCAAATAGCAACTGCAAATAAATACATAGTACATCATCCCATTCCCAACAAGTTTTCTGTTTGACCACTATCTAAATAAGAAGTTTCAGTTCCATTTCTGCTTAAAAATTGTTAACTACCTCTGATAAGTGTCTGCCTCATACCTGAGAATATAATCCTTTGTCCTAGTACAGAAAGCGACATCTGATTTGGTTTTGACTAATGCAAGCACAGCCAGAATATTTGCTGATGTCAATCAGGAGACTTTAAAATTTTAAAAGGCACAATAATGCAAATCTTACTGCGATTTTTCACAGTGCTGAAACTAGTGAGCTCTGAGCTCCTCCACTTCAGCATTGCAGGTTTTTAAGGCACAGCTCCGCAGCAACGCAGCTCTATGGTTTTCTAGATTTGTGCTCGTGCTTCCATGTCTTCTGTGCTGCTTTCCTAATTGCTCTGGGTCAGTGCCCCTGGGCTCAGCAGTAGCAGTCATTTTTGTCTTTCTTAGCAGCTAGCGCAGTGCTGTGCTTTTGACTTTCAGCTTGGGAACAACACTGATAACAATGTTGGTTTTAGCTGCTGCTAAGTCATGTTTACTCTGACCAAGGACTTTGTGAGCCTCATGCTCTGCCAGGGAGGAGAGGAAGCCGGGAGGAAGCAGAAACAGGACACCTGACCCAAACTAGCCAAAGAGGTATTCCATACCACAGTACGTCATGCCCAGTAATTAAACTGGGGGCAGTAACCCGGACGGGCTAGATCGCTGCTGGGGTCAGGCTGGATATTGGTCAGCGGGTGGAGAGCGATTGTATTCTCTTCCCTTGTTATTTCCCTTATCATTATTATTATTGGTGGTAGCAGTAGTGATTTGTGTTATACCTTAGTTACTGGACTGTTCGTATCTCAGTCCATGGGGGTTACATTCTTTTGATTCTCCTTGCCATCCCTCCTGGAGAAGGAGAAGAAGAAGGGGGGGAGTAAGCACACAGCTTCATGGTTCTGGGTTGTCGGGTGGGCTTGAACCACAACAGTCAGTTGTGCCAGAGTGTGTATATTCCTATGATTGTGGAGTGCATATTTCAAAGCTGCTAAAACCATGTGGAAATATTTTATGATGGGATGGAGCGGAGTCTGTATAACCGTACATCTCATCTGGGAACATTTAGAAAGATAAAATAAACACCACATTTTTGGTGCTACCTGATGGACTTGAAAGGCTATTTTCTATTTGCAGATCTTTTGATTGCCATGAGAAATCATTTCACTGCACCTATGTGCAAGAAGGCAAAAAGTCTATTTAAGCTAAAAAACAACAACAAACAAACCAACACTGCAGTGCTGTGGCCAAGTGTGTGAATGGTCCCTAGTACTTCATTCATTCTCGGGCTTTAGGAGGCAACAGTTCCACATCAAGATGGGCTTGCACACTTTTGAAAGAGAGAACTCGCAGACCTCTTCAAAACACTAGAACTGATAAAAATGAGTGCTGGAGCTTTTAACTATGGGTTGACAGCTTAATAATGGTCAGGCTAAAAAAGACCACTGGTAAGAAAAGGACAAATACATTTGTAGGTTGCATCAGGTGCTCAACAGCTTTCAACACACAGTAACATAAACAGGTTGTCCTGACAGGGACAAATGTTTCAGTGCAGGCATTCTCAATGACCAGTTCTACTTTCGATAGTAAACTAAATGGAGTCATGGATGGAAGCTTCAGCACCAGACCAGGCACTAAAAACTAAACTAAACAATACTGAAGAGAAGGCTGCACTATATGCCTTGTGCACTGGATAGCAGCTGAGCTGAGATTTACTGCAAAGGAAGGGTAAAATTCCATACTGAAAGGCAAAAAGAGCCAGTGTGCAGAATGACCTTAATTAAGATCTAACATGTTCTTAATTCTTTTGTGGAAGGGACAACAGATTGTCTTAAATGCATTTTTTTTTTTTTGAATGCATCTGACTCATTCAGGAAGTTACCCCCATGCTGAGTTCATCCCACTCCATTCAGATATAACTTTTCTTCTTAAAAGGATGTGCTGTCTTGTCTAAGGACAACAAGAGACAGAAATGGCAGTATTACCCTTGGTAACTGATTTTCATGGTTTAATCACTGACAAATGAAATGGCGCTTAATTTTATAGTTTGAATTTATTTTTTCAGTCATTGATTTTATTATGCCTTTCTTCACTAGATTAAAGAGCTGTTTTGTGTCTGGTAGTTTCTCCCTGTAAGGTAACACACCCAGCAAACAAATACCTTCATCATCCTTTTAAGTTTTAAAGATCTAAGTACTTTCTCCAGTCCTTCATTAGTTTTCCTGTGCCGCTGTCAGCATTTTCTTATTTCTACCACCCTTTGAAACTTACAGAAACCAGAAGCAGATGTATTACTCTACTGTCATGTCATTAAAGTTCTGATTTTGCAGTAGTAATGCTACATGCGAAGAGTATGCTGATTTCTAAGACACAAAATACTGATCCTGTTATTGATCTATTACTTTGTATTTGCTATACTGAAATGTGCTTAAGCAAGTTTCATTTGCCAAGCAATTCAAAGCAGTCTCTTTGACTGCTCTCTCCTAATCAGTATTTACCACTTTGTCAGCTTTATGTCATCTGCAAATATTATTGGATTGCCTTCATGTGCTTATCATCACTGAGGTACACTTTCAGTCTATAACCAGGCTCTGTAAATGCTAGAAATACATTTATTTTACGGTGATTCCACCTTTAAAATGACATTTTTGTCAACACTTAATCGTATAAATTTTAATCCATTTAATTTATGCTTCCTGGATACTGTGTCTACTAATTTTTTATCAGACTGTTGCTCAGCACTCAGATGTATGTCTTGATTGAGCCTATATTGTGCCTCTATTAGGTCTTTATCCACTGTAAGTGAAATCCCATCCAAGGATGTTGTGTTTGACAAGATCTTGGTTCCATGATCTGAGTGACTGATATTTGTTATATGCTTTCTCTGTAATTCTTTATGAGATAATTTAATCTCTTCATACTTTTACAGGCTAAATGTTTGGACCAATAGGTCTACAGACTAACTAACCAATGCATGAATGGATCTAACAAAGAATTGGCTGTTCTAGCTTCAGCTGATGCAAGATCTGGATCTGGGTTTTCTCAGTAGAGCATCCCGTAGTAGCCATTGTCACACCCTCACACCCCCCCAGACCAAGCCCCCTTTGGGCTGCAGCAGCACACGGTGTTGCTGTCACAGTTTGGCACGTGGTTGGCTGGGGAGTGCTGGCTGCCTGGGAGCTGGTCAGATGCTCAGGGTGCTTGGCAGCCTGGAATCTTTCTTTTCCTGAAAAAAGCACTGGCCCAGCCAGAAGCAATTCATGGGTTGGCCTGGATCAAAACCACTGAATAAGCTGGTAGTTTGGGTCAGGAACTTGCACAATATTCCAGACTTTTCTAAAAATACGTATCAGCAAACTAGCTGTCTCCTCAGCCAACACTTTTGCTGCTCTGTGTAAACTGTCTGCAGTTCCTTGGCTTGCATGATTTCTCTACTATCCACATAGGCAATTAAAGCCTTCCTTAATTATTAATATAATGAAAAGTACTTCAACATTTATATGTAATATAATAGCTTCTTTCCAAGTATAAATCAGAAATATTTATTAAACACTTCACATATTTATATTTAATTATGTTTTGGCTATTCTTTCCCAATTCAGGTATCCTGGCTTTTTTTCTCCTTTCAAGCAATAAATCTGCAGTGTACTCTTGGTGTCTAAAAATCAAGTTCTTGCCTATATATTCATGGCACTGGTCTGAAACAGCTGCTTTTTTTTTTTTTTTTTTTTTTTTTGTGGTGCTCTACAGAAAAGGAATCTTCAGATTTGAAATGTTTGTCTATTGTTGTATCAGTCTAGTTTTAATTGTTACCTTATTTTCCAAATCTGTAATAAAAATATAATTAATAATAAATATAATTTTAATTCTACATGGATGTGAACACTTTTATCCAGAAACATTAGGAATATTAATTTTTATAGAGTTCCTTCCTCAAAACAGAACAAGCCTGATTTTCATCTGGCTCACATATTGCAAGAAAAGAAGAATCAGGTGTGTTATTCCTGCTCTATGTCCTTCCTTCACAGCATGTATCCAGACATGGTAAACTTCATTCCCTGGAAATTTTATACATTTCTCTTTCAGGTGGGAGATAAAAGATGCATTCATGGATACTTTTTGGATCTTATTTATAAGCTGGATCCAAAAACTTGCACAGAAACTAGTTCTGGTGCCAAACTGATGTCTCTTTTGAGCAAATCTTCCTGTGGTAAGTACTCTGCATGTCATCCTATGTCTGCCATTGGGTCGAGAATGGACCCAGAGCAGCCTGTGCAAAAGCAGTGTTTATTTGTGCAGCTGTATCTCAGTAGCTAGCGAGATGCTGTTTTTGCATTATGTGTTACTCTTGACTCAGATAAAGGGCATGATTTTCTTTCTTTTAACATTTATTTACATAGAAATGTAACAAATGAGGAAAGTGTCCTTGGCAGGGAGGAAACCACGGTGCTTAAGGCATCTTGGTTTGAATTAATTGGGTCAAAAGAGTTAAACCACCGAGAATTTAAGTTTTTGCAGCACTGAGTCCACTGTTATTACAAAAGGATATTACATTTTGTTTCCTCATTTTAGATATATTACTTTTGGAAAAGTTGACCAAAAGTTTTAAAAAGTAATGAAACAGTGGGGTTTATCCATAGAAATAATGCGCATCCAGCACTTCCAGCACATCATTCTATGTTCTAATCTATTCAGGAAACTTGTTCCACAGCCATAGCTGCTTTATTTCCAGCACTTTCCGTTTCCTGAGCTTTGTAAGCTACATTGCCAAAAACATTAAAATCTAATCTGAAATAAAATGCAATGAGTAAATGACAAAAAATGGGAAAAGGAAGTTAACACAAATGGCTTTGTTGAGCTTTGACTAAACTGAGGTGTTTCAGTCTCCTTGAAAGCCTGTTGTCACATTTAGAATTATGTGGATGAGAACACTAATAATGTAAAAATACTTAAAATTTTATTTTGATTTTTTTGTATCTGAAAAGGAATGGAAACATGTATTATCTAAAAATAACTTGAATGTCTGTTTATATTGCATCGCTTATGTTACATGGCTAATGAACTTCTGCTACTTTATACTTACAGCACTTCTATATCATCTCAAAATGAACAGAGATGCTGAGACTAAAAAGCTGGAGAGAAACAATCTTCAAAGTTTTTGATGTTAAAGAACATACCAGTACAGGAGTTCTGAAGAAGTTCAGTGTAAAGTAAATCCTGTTTTCTTATTTGTAAGAATCTGAATACCTGAAAGTGAGCCAACGTATTCCTGTTGCTTATTTTGAGGAAGTTTGTGAATGGATGTTGCATATTGTATTCTACTTCTCAATAACTTTCTGAAGCACTAGGGGAGTGTAGATTTTGATTAAGAGTATCTGTAAAAATATATTAGCATATCCCTTGTATTATTCTTTTTTTGGGAGGATGAATTATTTCTCAGTTTCACTCATAGAACATAATAAAAGGACATTGGATTGTTGGTGCTCCAAAACACAGAAAATTGCTGTGATTTCAAGTATGTTGAACTGCATCTTGCTTAGCTTAACTGGTAATAATAGTAATTTGTTTGTCCTGAAGTATATTTCATAATACTATACAATCAGCAATAATATCTATCTGATGTTTTATCCTATGTGAAGATACCATTGATCTAACTTACTCCCAGCTAATGTTAATTCATCAGCATTTTTCACCTGTGAACTGCTAGAATTCAAGTCATAACACTGCAACAGTTACTACCTAAAAATAAAGAGCTTCTTTGTTTCCATGTTGCATGTAGTAGAAGAATACTGATTATTAACTGAAGTACCCTGAAAAAAAAACACCCCTTAATACCAGATTAGAAACAAGAGTGCAAGCACTAAAAATTATCATCACTGTAAAGCTGCGGAAAGAAGAAAAAGAAGTTAAAGAATTTGGCACTGAGATCCTATTGAAATTCAATGGGAATTGGGCTTCTCAGACTCAACTAGAGTTTGGGGCCAGATTTCAAACAGATGTTACTTATTGAAGGCAGATGTGCATATAAGCATGCTCAGACACATGCTGGATGCCTAGCACAGTGACATCTGCACATCAGTGAATACTTTGGTATAAAAATACTAAATATCTTGACGTAGTCACATGCTTCTATTGCTGGAGCCAAGTAATACCAAAAGTAGATAAAGTATTTGAAACTCTCTACTACATTTTCTTTGTTGACTGTCGATTACTTATATTTCTGGTCTTTTAATTGAACTTTATAGTACATTTATTCTTAGGAGATAAAATACTTGATAGTATATTGTGGTCCTGAAACTAGTGTAGTAATCATGAACAATCTTACCTATCCCAATTGTTCTCAAGAACATTTCACACGAATTAAAGTGAAAATCTTTTTTCACAACAGTTCCATGAATTTAATTAATCTTTCTTTATTAATAGTAACAATAAAAAATGTATTTCCAATCCATTACTGATTAAGTAAAAGACTGTCTTTTAAAGCTTTTATGCTGCTTATTTTTTTTTAATCTTCACAAAAGTAATTTCAGAAAACATTAATAGCAGAAACATTTTTCAATTAAAGTTTCTCCAGGGGAGGTTTAGATTGGATATTAGTAAAAATTTCTTAACTGAAAGGGCTGTCAAGCATTGGAACAGGCTGGCCAGGGAAATGGTTGAGGCACCATCCCTGGAGGTATTTAAAAGATGTGTAGCTGTGTCACATAGGGACATGGTTTACTGGTGGACTTTACAGTGCTGGGTTTACTGTTGGACTTTATGATTTTAAAGGTCTTTTCCAACCTAAACAACTCTATGATTCTATAATTCCAAACCAGTTCTTGTAGAGACCAGAAGACTCAGTGATTTTTATAGTCCAGTAATGTTAGCTGCACTTGAAAGGCATCATTTTTCTATGGCTTGAAATAAAGCAATAGTCACAGTTGTAGGTTTTATGTATACAAACAATATACAGCAGTATAAGTCGTATGAAGACCTTAAGAGAAAAAGAAAATACAACCCCGAAACAGGAACTCTGTATAGTAAAGCGAAGATTGATTTACCAACTTCTCCTATTCCCAGCTGAAAAGGGAGCAGAGAGATAGTGAATTAAAAATCCTATCAATCAGTTACATGGAGGGAAAATGGGCATCAGGGACTGCTTGGAAGAACAGGCTTAGAGCTGACCCCTCTCAGGTTCAAGCCATCCTCAGACCAACCGACCTGATGTTAGGATTCTACTGAAAAGGAAGGAAGGAACTTGAAAAAAATGAAGTGTTTTCTGCTACTTGAAACAGAAGAGAGAAAAAGAGATGCAAAATCCCAAAGAACTGCAGTAATCCCAGTATGAAGACCCCCAGTTAAAGCAGTTTGCATAATGTACTTTCCAGATCCCACAATTCTCAGTAATAATTTCACAATCTTTTTGACTCATAAATTCATTGACTTCTTTTCTGTATTAGTAAAAAATTTCACTTGGCTCCCAATAGATGCAGTAAAAAGCAGTGATCATGGTAAAAAAATTACTTAATAACACCCCTGCCTCTTCCCAGAGACTGTCAACTGGCTCCTTACCACATGAATCCCACTGTGGCAGTAGCTGCCTAATTAAAATTCTGTGCAGCTCTTTCATTGAAAGTGGAGCATATTTATTTTAAGATGATGTATACTCTATTTAAATGGATTGTCTCATTATGCTATTTACTAAATGCTGCATCTGTTTGATACCTACAGTGTTACATATAATTGCTAACAGTCTCATGATGCCTAACAGGCACATTCAGTTACTCCTGACCTATACATTTTTCTTGGAAAATACTAGAAGTATATTTCATTCTTGTAGCTACATCTAGCAATTGTGTTCTGGTACATAACTTCTCATTTTGAGAGAACAGTGTGGAGGCAACCTTGGCAGATGGAGTTTTACACAAAGTATCCTGAGCAATTGTTCAGATCTCAGGAAAAAGTTTATGATGATGCTATTACAAGAGCTTCTTGCTGCATAAAAATGAGACAAGTGTAGAAAACAAATCCATGCTAGTATTAACGGAAAATATTTGAAAAACCATACACTGTGATTTGCCCATAAATATGAGCAGGGATCTGTGGGGAATTGTGCCTCTGTTTAACATATCATGACTTCCAGTGATGGAACTATTGATTATTATCACCCTCTGCACTCAATCTGTCCAGTTATGAATGAATGAAGCATCTGGGAGTGGAACTTACTTAAACAATTTATTGTTTTGAAGTCTACTCTCATAGCGTAAGACCACTAACATCATTCAAGACGTCTAAGACAGGGCTCTTTAATCACCAGCTCCCCATAAACTGTAACAACCCCAAAACTTCAGTGCTCCATAGAGCTTTTTCTTACAAAATACGTATTTAAACTAAGCATGCTTCGTTGCTTCTCTACATACCATGCAGCATATTGTTAAATTTCCTTTAGCATATCCATTCTGTTGTAAAGATAGACATTATTTGTGTACTGTTCCCTTTCCTCACCCCTTGTGCCATTAATTATGTCTGTAAAGTAGTCAACTAGTTTAGATTAAAAGATTTGTTTACAGTCCAGGCCCCTGGCAGTATG